TAATTACGCCACAGGTCCTTCTTTGATTTGAGAAGGTATTCACGGGTTGCTGAAAGCCTGCGACGAGTGAAGATTGAATCGCCAGTGAAAGGACTGTTGATGAAGCATGGTTGGATACCAGTCTTGATGGAACTTGCCCAAAATGAGTACGCGGTCTGCTCGCCACGACCACGGCCCTCTACATAATCTGACTGCTGCTCCAACCTGTTTACATTGCCGGATAAAAGTGCTGGCTTTGAGGCCGTAGTCGACGCTTTCGACCTCCTTTTCCAACGCTCCTCGTTGACAAACTTCTGGGTTCCAAGGTGCAGGGTACATGCCAATGTAGGTTACAGGTACATAGGATATATGTGGATCACATGCGGGCTACGCAGGAGGATGCAGGGGTAGTACGGGGCATGCAGATTTTCAGTTTTCCAGGGCCAGCATATGCAAAACTTCCGGAATCATGGTGTTTTAGTAAACTCCGTCAGCAGCCGAAGCTTTGGGGCTTGGGCAAACTGAGACCTCCCAATCTGTCTCTATGTTGTGGCATGCCGAATAATAAGCTCGTTCGGCCACGTGTGATATGCTATTGCAGAGGAGGTACCGCTGAAGTCTCGAAGCATGCATGGCAGTAAATGCGGCACCGCAGCTTTCAAAAATCCAATATACAGTATGCAAAATAGTCGCATACCATTGATGTATCGCGAATCTGAGACGGACACAGCTACATATGCAACCCCAATCAAATCCACATATACTCTTTTTAACTCAGAATTACAATAAGTTTTCTATCATCATGCAATGAGGTTCGCTGGAGGAGCTTGCTGCTTCTTACGAAGAGGTTGCCGCGCTGGCAGCCAAGCGGACCGGAGATACTCGTCCGTTTTTTTACATCGTGCGAGATTTTGCCCAAAGCTTGTGTTGGATTTGGGCTGTAGGTTTTTGCAGCCAGGAAGTCCACCTGAACTTAGCAACTCTTTGTCGGAATTCACCATGTCGGATGGAGGCTTGGAGTTGTGCTCTGCATGCCTCGGAACGGCATGCGATGCCGTGAGTCTTAATCTCAATATCCTGAGGTCTGGCCGGTCCTGATCAGTGGCGAGATGAACTGCTATCCGTTCCTCGCTCTTGCACGTGAGCGGCTGGAGAGAGTGGCATTTCTGCGCTTGTAGCAGTTTTTAGATGTTTTTGGACATGCAGAGGGCTAATGGCAATTCCTGACCATACAGAAAGCTCACACCCTGGCGTGTCATCGATTGCGTTCATGTCATAGTCGAACTTCCATCTACGACCTCTCAAAGCTGGTTTTCCTTCCATGCCCGCCCGGCAAAAAATCCGAACTTGGAGCATCCCTGCTGTCTGGCTGCAGGTTCACGCATAACGGAAGCATCCGCGTTGCCAGGAGTAGTGCCTTTTGCCGTCTAGATTGGCTTTGATTGCACGGAAGTCGCTCCGGAAGCGCCAACATCCAGCAATGAAATGGCCGCTGATAAGACCAGACTTTCCATCAAAGTATTCGTAGCAAGCAGCATAGCACCCAGAGGACCCACATCGCGAGGGAGAAGTAGGTTTGATGCTCCTGAAAGAATGACTTCTGGGGAGGACTGTGCCAACATCTGGCAACCTGAACATGACCTGGGTGCATCGGATCCCAGCCGCGGCGCGCCTGCACAAGCGAGAGGCTTGACTTAAGTCACAGGGCTGTCAGTTCCATGGCATATGGAACCCCCAAGCACGAGCTGCGAGGCGTTGAAGCCATTAAACGGACATGCAAGAGTAGCGGGAGCAGCGGCACATTAAAACACAACGAGAAGCAACAACACTGTTTTTGCTTGGAAAATCCACACCTCACACCATGCCCGGCAAACTCCAGACGAGCACCCCCTGCAGCGAATCTAGCAGCACTAATTAAAAGAGCATACGATCTAAGAAGAAGACGGACATCCGCAGATCCATGCGCCCTTGCCTGCGGACATGTCTCACCAGCCATGCTACAAGCTCAAGTTTCAATCTGGAGGCTGCAGATTGTCAAAGCGGGGACGATTGAGGGATCATGAGGCATTGGAGGACGCATCTTGCGTGACAATGCGCAATTCTCGGAGGTGGTTCGTGCTGTCATCATGAAAGTTTGTCCGAGCGTTGTTCCCCAGTTTCACCCTTACTTTCTTGCTACCCCAAACTTAAACCTCTAAGCCCTATGAACTCTAAACCTGAAACGTTTCCCACATGAGCCAGGTACTACCCTTCTGCCAGGCGAGCCTCCGGGCGCATTGCAGCAACGGAGGCCAGGATTATCGTGCGGGTTTCGGGCTCGAGGATTAGGGTTTAGGTTTACAGTCTTGAGGGCTGTTGGGTTTCAAGATTTGCTGCCAAGGGCTCAGTGTCGGCTGCAGGGTTTAAGTCTAAGGATGAAGATTAATTAGGGTCTAGGGTTTACGCTCTAACGCCAGGAGTCTGGAGTTTCGGGCACAGGGCTATGCATGGATGTTCCCGCGCATGTTACATGAGGACCTTCAGACTCCAAACCTTTTATGAAAGAGAGCCGTGGCAGCATATGATCTTCAAAGTTTTGCTTACTTGATAGCACGATTGCTTTCAAACTCTGGGCAAAAACCAGACGAAAAAAAAACAATTGGAAGTGTGTGATTCTTCGTATGCCCGGCGGCCACATTCCAATTAACTAGGCTTGATGGGGCTTCTTGTGCTTCAAAGTTCAAGCCGGCTTTTGACTTCCAAGCAAAGTAAGTTCCTTCAACCTCAGGACTGCTGCTAAAAACCTCAATGAGCCTATATGGAAAACCCAGGCGTTCGGCAAACATAGAAGACGCTGTTAGGGATCAAGGCCCCTCACGTTCTCTCAACTTCCTCTTCAGTTAGATCCCAGCCACGTGGAATAGCAGACCTCGCTTCGAGGGGGATACAGGACGGAAAGCCAGCAAGCCATGATCCAACTTTTGGCATACACCTGATGCTTCCTTTTTGCGCTTTGCACTCAAGCGCTTCATCAAAGCGATAGTTTTATTGCAGCAGGCAGTTCCTCGATAAATTCTGGAATGGGGTATTGATTGAACATGGCACACTATGATGCGCTTTCAACCCCTACCCCTACATAATCCCTATAATAATATAGTAGTTTCCATTTTGCTTTCCACTATCCCTATATAAACCCCTGTATAACCCCAATATACTACCTACTGAAGCTCTTAGGCTACCTGCAACCCGCTAAAAATCAGGTCTGCCAGCAGTGGCTAATGCAGCACCTGGGGCCGGCTATGTTGAGGTTAAGGGGATATGTTGGGAAAATGGAAAATAAAATGGAAACTACTATATTATATGGGGATTATATAGGGATTATATAGGGGTTATATAGGGATAATTGCACCCATCATGTTTGAATATGTCTCAAACTGGGCCGCGGCCTATGGGGATCCTAGTGAGATCAGTGCCATTCTTGCCAGTGGGGGAACCGGGCTGAGGGGGATATACATGCTAAAACCTATGTAAGACTGGGTCTAGAGTCTAGGGCCGAGCATATTTGGGCTATGATCCTTTGACTGCGCAGCTCGCTGTTTAGGAGCTAGACTGTTCCAGCTTTTGCAGGGGGGTCCTTGGCAAGGTGGCCGCTCTTCCGAAGGTGTCTTCTGCAAGGGCTCTATCTTGTCGAGTTTGCTTGGCCATGTCACACACCGACGAGAGTACTCTTAAGGGAAAATGATGCCTCCTCGCGGTATGCTGCAAGCACCTGAGGTATTACGACCCCGCCGTGTATGGGGTCCCTTGCTCAAATCGCGGGTAGGACCCGCTCTTGAAAGTCGTTGAGAGGAGGGTGATTATGAGAAGCTTTACAGAACTGCCATAAGCCCCTATAGAGCAGGTATGATTGCAACTTTTGGGGTAGGCACCTACATATGCAAATTGCATTTATTGACAGTGGTAACGTCAAGTTTCTCAAGCTGAGAATGAGGATGAATGAGGGTACCATAGCCGCCCCCACCACTTGATCAGAGGCGGGGCTGAGGCCGCTTGATGATTTGTTCCTAGCCGGAAAATCTAGTAATTCTGCATAGACCGGATTGAGGCTTACAGTTAGAGTACCTTGGTCCAACTCGCAGAGGCGCTGCGGCTGCGGGATTATCCCTTCGTGCCCCTCGCTTCTGACCTTGGTTTAAAAGGGAACGAGTTCTTAGGCGGGTTTGCAAACGCTAGGGCAGGTTCCGGTGCACTAATTATATGTCCAAGTCATTCTTGTAACTTGCATGGGATCGAGGGCTGCTACATGCCAGAAGACGCGGAGTGCCTGCAGCAACTCACCACTCACCGGTCCATGAGCCACACACAGCCACGGCAGATGCTTTGTGAGGAATACCGGAGGATTCATAGGCCGCAGCTCTACTCTTCAGAGGCCGGCATGGGGAAACCTAGGTTGGAGTTTCCGCTTTCTTAAGACTTAAGACGTGCTCGGTGAGGATAGACGTTAGTGTCTTCAGCAGAAAGAGCTCAAGCTCTTGAAGGTTGAGTGTACGGCGCCACTGAGAATGGGGTACCTAGCATCATCCACAAAATTAGTGTTGCATTATTGCCGCTAAGCTTCGGACTCACATGTGAGGAGATATTTTCAGTGGACTTGCTCGAACTCACGGCATGGCTCTTGGGATCTGAAAGATCGGGATCGGGGCTGCACTTCTGACGGCAATAGAGGTATGGCAAAGACATGAAAAACTGCATGAGGTGAACCTTTCGTTGCGGAGGAAAAAGCTGCAGATGATCAAGGGTGTAGCAACTACGCTCAGGCCTCGGCGCTAACTTGAGTTAAGCACTTTGAGCTGCCTGATCGGGACCGCGGGCCGCGGCGTTTGCACGAAACCCTTGAGGAGATTAGTTAGTTTCTTGGCTAGCCCCTCCAATACTTCCCAATGCACTGGCCAGTGTTCACATCTGAGACATGATTCTGGCAAATTCCAAGACATCGCAGTCAACTAGCCATTAAGTGCAAGCGTTGCAGGCTTTGGTGGCACATGAGGCGCCTCAGCTGAGGACATGTCAAGTGTTGTTTGGCTGGGAAGGATACTGCTGGATCCTGCTAACAAGCGTCAGGAACATACAGGGAGTTGGGAGTGGATACTCGTCGCAGCTTTTCAGGTACCCGAATTAAGCTGTCATATGACATCTTCATCCACCACTGCTGCAAGGTGTGCAAGGGTTCGAGACCAGCCCAAGACAAGGTTGCGACAACATCCCCGAACTCAACCCTCACTGAATGCCTCAACCCCCAACTCCTCCAGTACAAATAACAGAGATGCGGAAGATTAAAAGCAAAGCCAAGAACAGAGCAACACGCATGATGATTGTACTGTCATCCACCAGAGAACCCTTGAACACTCGTCACCTGCTCGACCCCCTTGCTGTCCTTTCTTGTCTACCCCACCGCACTTTTCCTCCGCACCTCTGCTGCACGCATTTCACCCTTACGCTTCCAGTCCCATGGAGGGCACTTCATCGGGCAACCGGCGAAGCAGACGATCAGGCTCTGATGCAGCTAGCTGCAGGGCGGCATCCGAGCTAGCCATGCAAGCCTACAGGGGTACATCAGAACTTTCAATTCATTGGATCCGTACAGAATTCTAGGGGTTGGTGTGGTTATTGCGAGCCCTTAATGCAGGGATTTCATGAGTGACTCCCATATTCGAGAGGCTAAAGCCTAGGCGTGTCAGTACAGGGCTCACTAGGCTTTGTATGAAAATCGGAGTTGCTGACATTTGGCTCGTGCTGAGGGTGCCCAAGGGACGCGCTTCCACTGTGGACTCGAGGCTACTCGTAGCTTTTGTAGGCTTAGGTTATAGTCCCCTTTACGCAGATTGTGGCGGAAAAGGGGATCTTCTTGAGACTTTGGGTAATCCATATCCTAGCTACTGAAAGGGGAATATAAAGTTGAAACCGAAGAGCTTGGTGTTGGCTTGACCACCACATCTAGGGGGAGTAGACTGGCACATTGCCCTGGATGTCTACGGCTAATTCTGCAAGAGTTTGAGGGAAGACGCTGATGCGGCGAAACTGCGGTTTGAGTTCCGCATTATTCGTTGCAGAGGTCTGCCAGGGCAAGTGAACTGAAGGTTAAGCTACGGAGTAGAAGGGCGCAGCGTTTGTTGCATGGTTGCTGGCATGCCAAAGCTAGAATAGGCGTCTCGAGAGTCACTCTCCGAACATGCTAGCATCCCTATCTTCATTTGAGCTGGCTGTGCAGTAGGTCCCGGACAGGCCCAGGGTAACAGGCTGCTTGTCAAAACAATCAAACAGCATATGCAGGGCCTGCAGGGTGTAAAGGAGCGGGAAAATTCATGGTTGCCATAGGAGGGTAGCTGGATTTGCTGCTTGATTGATGAAGCCCATGAAACGCCGCTTGAGGTTCTGCTCGAGCATCCAGAGCTGGGACAGGCACTTCGTATTCATTTTGACGTAAACAGGGGTACGCTGAGGGTTCCTAAATTTTCTCGGGTCGTAAAGGTATTTGTCTTACGGACATTCGAGGACCAGATAGGGCTACCCTCGAGAAACTCCATCAGCGTTCCATGCTTGAAATTCAGAATAAGAGGCATTGCTCCGAATTACCACGCTTTGCGTGACTTCACAGGTGCCGCCAGGAATCCTGTCAGGACGTTGCGCACGGCATGATAGTGGGGTAGCACGGCGCCTGGACTCATCGGAGCTTTTATGTGGAAGCAGGTGGTAGCACCACAATGGGGCAGATGCAAGAAGGTCAACGGAGGAATTTTCTACAGGCAGGTCTAACTAGACAAAGAAGACTATGCGCCCGAAGCATCATGAGAACAAGTCTATATGTTGAATGTCTGCGTGAGAACCAGAGAATTGCGCGTGAAGATGCAAGTCTCATTCTAACTGCTGCGCGGCCCATCAAAACAATTAGATTTTGGGCTGACGAAATGCGCCACATATACATCTTGTATACATATACACAGACATTAGACATCTCAACATGTTGCTAGAATTTGCTGCCAGAAGCAGGCAGAATGCCCATGAAGTCCCCGAAGGTAGATGTTGCTGGACGAGTCTTCCTCACGCTGCACGGCCACAAGCTGTACCATTTGGAGCGGACTCTCTGCATCCCGGCAAAGGGAACGGCTTCAATAGAGGGTTTTTTTTCGTCCGATCTGCCATTACGCATGCAACAACTGCTTGAGAATGAATGTTTGGAAGCAGTTGGGCAAGTTGGGCGTGATAAGCATTTCTGAAGCCCACGCTGTGTATTCTTCACAGGGAGTTCCGAATTCCAGAATAGTCCCTGTACAATTGTATACCCATGAAATCCTACAAGCCCATGGGGCCCTACATCCTAACCACCTAAATCCTAATCCTTCAATGCCTTCAGCAGAAACAGCTTTTAAAACCAGAAAATTTTGATAACACCAATAACAATAGTAATAGTAATCATAGTCATAATGCCAATAGTAATAACAGTCAGTAGTGGTAATATTATAGTAGTATTGAATCCCTTCTCCCCAGGCAGTGACCGCTACTGGGCCCGGCGCGGGCGCCGCACAGCAGCCAGCTTGGCCTCGCACCGACGCAGCGTGGAGAGAAATGCGGGCAAAATGGTAGTCTAACCGAGGTAGTGTAACGCTGCCATGTAACTTAATGTAGTGTAATGTCAAGTAATGTAGTGTAATGTAATGTATAGTGAGATTCAAGTGTAAGAGCGACGGCAATAGTAAGAACGCAACTTGATTACACTACTCAAATTTGGGATTCAAGCTTGGGGGCTGAAGATTTGAGGACTTAGGGTTAGCGAGTTTTTCAAAACAGCCTGCGCAATTCTTAGGAGGGGCCCTCACAGCCATCCAATTTGGGGAGCCCCTTATTCCAAGCATCCCCCATCATTGAGTCCGACATGTTCCTCATGCCGATTTAAGAATCAGGGGCGCTTCATGGGGTTAACTTTGCGTCCATGTTCCTGTAGGTGTGTTCCTTGCCTTGAAAGCTGTACGGCTGAGAGCTTTTGGGAGTGCAGAGTTTAATAGACTTGCGTAGCCGGCATAGCCTCAGGTGTAGGAAAGGTAGTTTGGTTTTAGTTTTCGCGCTAGCAGATCAGACTCGGAGCGCAAGCATGAGGGTCTTATGGAGCATTTTTTGGAAGAATCTGGGAGGATGCTCCCAGACTAGGCAGCTTGGTTTTGTCAGGTGTCAAGAGTGGACGTCGACGTTGTGCATCGTTTCCGGGAGAAAAATATTCACAGGCACTGCAAAGGAGCCTGGTTAATTTCCGGACTTAATTATGCCGTCGCCCTACGTAGCATACTTCCCCAAACCCTCCCGGAAGATCCCTGTATGAGTACTTCGGAGTTGCCATCCAGGATTTTGAGCCAAGATCTCCAGCCATGGGCAAAGAGAACCCTTGGCTCCCGTGAACTTGAACCCCTGCAGCCTATTATGGTTGATGAGCCTTGTGGTTCCCTGGGCCTCCACTGCTGGACTCGGGAATGGGGATGACGAATGAAGTGTCTAGGTACCACGACAACAAGATATTTATCAGCGGAGTTGTCAAAAAGTGAACAAAGGCTTCAACAACCTCAGCCCACCGCGCGTTCGGCGGTCGCCACCGATGGAGCCTCCGGCTGGGCTGTGCACATGTCAAGTTCTGCGTTCAGATATGTACTCCTGAATTTCCCCGCTGTTGAGTTACAAAGCTTTGTGCCTTTGCACTTGCAAGTAGAGTGTTTCTCGACCTTTTCTTTGTTTCATGGCCTGGTTATTCGTGAGTGCGCGCTATACTTCACGCCTGGGGCCTTACGCTGGTGAATTGAAAAACTGCGTCATGACAGAGCGTCCGGTGGGACATCATAGGTCCCCAGACAGGCAGTGCTAGATGTCCAGTAGCAGCTTGTCAGCCTGCAGACATCATGCTATAAGTAGCGTACAGCTGGGATAGTCATAGGTTCTTCGAGGCACATGCATTGCTAGCACTACCACGGTCCCTGCAGCCAAGAAGCAGTAGTGCATCACTGTACGGGCTTCAATGAGGGCCGATCGCTTTCTGCCACTGCAGTCCGAAGCGCACATGATTTCCACTGGTGCAGGTGGTGCTGCACTTCAACGGCTGCCTGAACAGCAGGGAGGGCCAGGTTGTTTCGCAGGTTTGGTTCACATCCGGTGGGTTGGCTGTGCATGGCGTCCTGCCTACCCGTGCCCAAAGCGCATTGTAAACATGGTGCTGTTTGGGTTAAGCATTCTTAGCCTTGCCATCTGCAGTAGATGACATGGATGTCTAGGAAATGTCTAGGAATAGCCGTGTGGCAAGCAGTCTCCTCTTCGCAAAAAGAAGCTCGTCCTGCGAAATACCGAGCTGAGGAAATGGTAAGCGCTTACTTCGCGGATGCTGCCCAACAGCAAATTTGAAGGGCGTCATTCTGACATTGGAGGCTTTATATCACAAGATTGATGCCAGAATGTAACCTCGAAATATGCATTTCAGATTCGGACGTTTCCAGTCTGAGCATGGCTGGCACATATCTAAGTGTGATGCTGCATTTTGTGAACATAAATTGGGCTCCGCAAGTTGTTAATCAAGCTTGGTGTCATATGGGGGAAGTTTTATGTTAAAGCTGCGCATAACAACAGCCACGGCTCAAAGGCGATAAGGGCATCAGAAAGATAAGGAATTTCATGATGTATCGTAAGCCAAATGCAGTCGGGCTCTGCCCCCAGGTTTCGCCGCGTTTCGCAAGCGCCTGCTGGTGAACGGGCCTCGCATCCTGGTCGGCTACAGTCATGAGGTTTCTACCGCTAAACAGCTGTAGCCCTTTGCAGAGGGGACCTTGATTGCAGGGGGCAAGGCAGGGGTCCCCGCTTCATCATATATGCAGTGGACAAACCGTCGCAGTAGATACGCAGGATGTACTACGTCATCGGTTCCGTATTGTCCCGTCGTGTATTTGCAGTTGATGCCTCATTCTAGTTGACCGGTGGAGGGGGGCTAGGTGTTGATGCTAGATGACAAGCCCTGTTCATATTCTTTGCCATCTGATCTGCTAGCCACACAACCTTCAAAGCACGCAAACGCCTTAGCAAATTGGATCCTGAGCTAGTAGGTTCAGAACTTACTGCTACGAGGTGAGCCTGTAGCAGCCGAATAGATGTTGCAGCTGGTGCCTAAGAGGTCTGATATTAAGTTGTACATTGGTCTGGGCTCCCTTCTTGGCGGCGTAGATTTAGTGTTTGACAATTGTTGGAAGGGGGGTGCTGGTTCACAGGGCCTTGTCGTTGGAAAAGGTATGCCGGAAGATTGCTTACAGTTTACAGAGCTTCTAGGTGTTAGTGGCGCAGTTGGAGACAACTTGTCACAGTTTGCATTTAAGGCAGGCCATATCCCAAACCAAACTCACCCCTCATGACAGATGTGCACGCTGTAGTCCACCTTTCCTTTGCTGCGCCGTGCTCTTCAGTGCTAAGCTACTGGTCTCATGTCCCTCCACCTGCATCTGCGCTCACCAAATCAATTTGTCTCCGAGGTGCTTCGTGCCTTGCATGAATTTAGCAACGTGCTCATTTTCCTTGTCCCATGTTATGTCACGACTGCAAGGCTTCAATTGCATTCTTTAAATCAGATGGGATGTGTGCAAGCTTCAGCTTCTAGCTTGGCTGCCCGCTTGCATAAGGCCCTGGGAACCCTGCATCAGGTCACGGTCAACACTCTGCCTTGGAACTAGACTCCTGAGGCTCCTCGCTTGTTTGCCGCAGCTGCACTGATTGGTTTGACTGCTAGTTCTCATATTTTGAAGCTTCTGGCCTCCAGCCCTTCAAGAATCCATATAGCCCAACATAACATCTTCCACAAGGCTGCACTCAATTCCTACAGCACTGAGGTGCACCTTCTACGACCAAGATGCGCGCACATGGTATCGCTTCGGTTGAAAACAAAGTAGATCTCCTGCTGGCCTATCCTCCTGCGTTTTTCGCGCTATTTTCAACCTGTTTGGCTTTTTGCTTCCGCAGCCCTTCCAGCTTCTATCAGGTCCACCTGCTTTTATGCTTGTGAGCAGGCGTCGCTATACCATGCCTGATCCAGCACACAAACAATTGCAAACGAATTAGCATAGGCCGAATTGCAAGAAGAGTCTGAGCCACATCTCGCAGATGGCAGGGTGGTCAGACCCGAGGGATGGAAAAGCAAGATTTCAGGATTTAGGGTCATGAGGCTTGGGCACTATAGGCCAGACCAGCATAGGGTGATGCTTGTCAGCAGCGGCTTTTCATGAACGTGGATGTTTGCAGTCAACTTGACTCTCTGGGGAGGTGCCAGGTTCCCACAGAGCTCAGCAACCGCAAAGAATGTCCGCCAGACGAGTGTCTAGTTCGCCCTTTCATTCTGAAGCAATGTGAAGGCCAAGTAACATTCATGATCACACGCGGCTTGCGATTTTGCATCGCGGCATTCAGGACCATGGTTTTGGCAACCAACATCAATTTAAGAGAAGGGGGCGGTCCTAAATTAGATTCTGACATGCAAATTTTCTGAAGGCCTACTTCTCGCCTTTTTCGCAGCCATTTGGCCCACAGTACGTGCTCCTGGCCCCCATAAAGGGCAGGCGAGCTTGTGCATGCGTGGATACCTTACACGAATCTGTTGCGCAATCATGCTTTGACGTCTGATTCTTAATCCCGTCGGGCGCGAGATGGCGATGCCGACACCACAAACCAGATATAAGAGAGCCTAGATCTGCTTCAGGCACCACCTGGGACCCCAACAATTAAGGATTCCGCGCCAAACAGGTTGTAGCTGGTTTTGATGCTGTGGATGTGGAACTGGGTTTGAACAATATGCATGTGTGAGAAGGTTCAAACTCAACTGACAAGTCGTGTAGAAAGCCTTGACTACGGCTTACTGGGACCAATGAAGGACCTTACATCTCCCATGCATGTGGATTTACAGGCATGCTAGGCAATGACTTTGTGGAAGCTGTGAAGTCAGAAGTGGCACCCAGCGCCTCAAAACCTCTTCCCACCTTGCCTGACAGTCCACTTTGAGATTCACCCCAGACACAACGTTGTGGTCCTCCTCAAGTGTAGAGACTGAAGAATGGTAAAGCCCTTCAACCATGTCCCTCCGTTTTGTTTACGCGAGAGAACAAGAGTTCATGTCCTAAGCGTTTGCCCCGCGAGGCCATGGCTGGCACGGAAGGCCCACACATGGATTTGCCATTAGGTAGGTGTTCTTGCGAATTATGTGCGGGCAAGCAAGTTCAGAGATTGAGATTTGGTTGGGCCTTTGTCTAAAGCCCCATGCCTTTTAGCAGCTGTAGCGGGTTTGCAGTTGCTTGAAGGCATGCATAGGCGCAAAAGCAAATTCGGGTTCTTGTGCTTTGCCAGTCCACAGAATTCCCGCTCCCCGAGCCCCCTTGACTACACATTCCAGCGGCGTGGAAACCAGACTCTCCGCAACGCGATCCCCTTGTCATCCCTGCATACAAAAGATGCAGCAGACTTGGAAGCCTTATCCTACTTCTTGCATCTCTGGCAAACATGTGCGTTTATGCTGCTTGTAAAAACTTGTCTCATTACCTACTCTCTGTGTCATCGCACCCCGGGTCCCTGGAGGATGCGCAGACAGCGGTGAAAGGCGCATGGAAGACAGCGCTGAAAGGCGCCCCGAAGACATCGGTGAAAGGCGCATGGACGAGGCGACTGTGCCCAAAGCCTCCAGGGGTTGCCCATATGTCTGAGGTGGAAACCGGCCTGGATGTACGGAAAGTGTAAGTTGGGCAGTACCTTCAGACGGGGCAGCAAAGCTCCCACAAGACGGTCAGATTACTTTCTCACAATGGACCCCCCTACCGCTCATTAGCAGCTATATATTGGGAATTTCTTGAAGGGGCCTCTAGCCTGGGACATTTAGCCCACTTCTAGCAACCTGAGCCAGGGGTCCAATTCCCTTTGCTCCTGAATCCTGTTGCTGACAGCGCCCGGTATAGCTTGCAACTTCCACTACTAGCAGCAGCAGTCGGTGGCGGCGGCAGCACCAGCAGCACCAGCATCGACACGCAACCAGCATCAGCTGGTGGATACCTCTGACAAAATTATGCTATTGAAAGCTTGACCCTTCATATTCTCTGAATACAAGCGTCCCGTGTGCATCAACGTGCTGCCAACTCACCGACCTCATTAATGTGCTCGTGCTACTCTTAGACAATCATTACATCGCTCCTGAGTATTGCCGAGATTTAAGATGGAGCAGTACCTTCATGCTAAGGGTGGCATCTTTTACACGACCTGGAGATTATGACAAAAATTCTTCAACAAGCATTCCAACCTTTCTAGAAGACTTGAGAAGCTGCAGGAGCAGTGGCAGTCAGGCGTATCCCTCGCATCAGCAGACGATGATAGCAAAAAGGCGCCGGTGGGCAGCGCTACAGCGTTCACCTAGATTGTACAGGAAGTATGCGTGGACGTTGTATGGTTTAGAGGCCATGGGCCGAAGGCATGCTGGAAAACTAAGGACCCCTGCTTTTGTAGATTGCAATGCGCATCACCCTTCGCAGCAGTTGTGAGCCCACTATATCTTGGTAGTTGCTGCCGCTTAGAGATCCTAAGTAGTGCTGGGGTTCCTCCATCCACCGCAGTATTGCTCGCGATGAGTCAGTGATTGATACCTGGGCAGATTCAATTCAAGTGGCTTCAGGCTGCATTGCATGTGGGTTGCATAGGCGAGTAATCCATAAAGAATGTTTAGGTTTCAGACTCATGTCATGCGTGTAGATTGTTATTGATGAGGCTTTGTTTTTTTGATGCAGGTCCCTTCCTTTCCATTTCCTGACAACGGCAGCCCTCAGCTGACTACGGGCATTTTTTGTCTATCCTTACCTATTTGCATCTATTTGCAAGCCAGGCAAGCGTTTAAATGTGCACGCCATGCTAGGTAGCATGTTCCTTTGGGTCTGCGAGGCGAGTGCCACAGTTCCATAAAGTCATTTTTTGCTCTGAATGTCTGAAGTTCCGCTGTGTGACTGAGTTTAGTCTGCGTTTCATGTGCAAAGTATGTGGCGAACCTTTGTCCTTGGGGCGATGGTTGGCTTCACATTGAAGAGTGCAGAAAAAGGGGTTGTGAGGACCCTGAATTATGCTTGGAGACTTTTGCTCAGGGTCGAAAAGCCAAGCGACCTTCCAAGAGTGGCAGAAGCCCAAGCAGCTGGGCAGATGATGAGTAATGAGTAACATAGAGGCTTGAGAATGGCTTCTTCATCCTTGGTATTAGATGATCACATGTACCAGGTTTTGTCAGCGTTGCTTAGGGGTCAGGACTCTTCAGTTGCAGTTGTTGCAATAACCCCTTCGCTCATGGGTAGAAAGTATGCGCAGTCGGTCAGTCTACAGGTTGTACTCTGGCCTTCAAATGATTCGGCTTGCCGGTGTGCTCACAAGGCAGAGTTGTGCTGAGCACGAAATATTCATGATGGGTGCTGCGGCTCTGTCCTGCTTGCTCATCCTCAGAGCTCCTGCGTTCGTGATGGAACCCTTAGGCTAGGCCCGCGTCACAGTAGGTGAACTCACTCTTGAGCTGAGGAGGTTTCATGCCTCCAGAGGACACGTTTCGGATTCAGGGCCTGCCTTGCTAACAACTGCGAACAACACCTTGGGCGTCCTCAGAAAGTATGAGTCATTTCTGCATGTCCTCAGGACCAGGCCACTCAGGCTAAACAGGGGGCTGAGGACGTTAATTCTGAGTGTCCCCGCCGCTCGCTTACCTAGGAGCCTTCAGTCCGTTGCAGCACGAGGCGGCCAGACTGGATAGATGACTTACTGGGTTCGAAGCGTTTTGTCTTGTGTTTCCTGCTCCGGGCCATCCTATGCCGGTATCCAGGGCAGAGGTATGTCGATTTGTGGGTGTGGCATGAAGAAGCCGGATTACAAAAGGAATCCAAAGATTTTTCATGACGGTAAACTGCTTTGTTTGGCAACTCTAGCTTTCCAGGTATTCCTTGAGCCCTCTAGTTCCAAGAACCGTTTCCACTGCGTTCATGATGCAGGCACCTGTCAAACTCATTTGGTAATCTGAGAATCTCCTGGCATTACTTGATCATTCCCTCCTGCTCAAGCTCGGCCTTCACCTTGAATCTATGGGAGTCCACACATGGTCTGACGGGGGAGGGGAGGCTCAAAATCGTTAAGTGTAAGCAATCCGAGTTGCTGCCGGAAGGTTTCTGGAAAGATACGACAGCTCGGCGACGGTGCCTCCGGCGCGCTTATCGCATGTAAGTAGGGGTCTTTGCCGGCATGACTTCTAACTACAAGACGTCTTGAGCTTATGATTTAGGTCGATGTTGTTCTTTGCTATCATGACTGCATTCCGCTCTTCCCCTGATCAGGGTTAAATTCAGGGTTTAGAGCAGCGCACCTGCTGCCGTCATAGCCCCTGGCAGGGATCTGTGCGTCATTACTCTCTAGCACAGTGACAGTGTTTGCCAGAGGCTTCTGGGGCACTGATAAAGCGGTGCATCTGGCAGTGAAGAATCCCTCCCATT